CTCTCAATCTGGCAGGTAGCCTTGAGAATGCGCGCGGAATATTGCTTATCTCCCATCACGCCATCACGCTGTGCCGCTATTCAGCCGGCACCTGAGAAATAGGCTGGCGAAATAATCTGAGAATTGCTTTGGACACTGACACAACTTCAAGCTTCAAGCTTCAAGGGTGGACAGCGTCGGGCACTGGGGCAGTGCATCACTTCTATTTTTAGTACTTGACACTGCCTTTCTGGAGGGGTTCAGCCAATCACGACAGTAATTCCCACGACTGATTGCGCGACTGGATGCGGTACTGGATGTGGTACTGGATGCGGTACTGGAGATGATGTCCAGTCGCACCTCGCGCGGAACTGGATGCGGGTTTTGCCCGTTGTGTATTGGAATGTAGTTCATACAGAGCCGCCTCTACGACGACTAAAGCAGGATATGACGATGACAAGCCGAGCATACCTCCGTTGTTCGGTGGCGCGCTCGACGGGCCACACGACAGTCCCTCGAGTTCGCAGTATTACGCAACGCTGCGTGGGCGGGACCGCCTTGTCCTGCAGGCCGTGCTCCGTGCCGTGTCCAGACGTGCTCCATCAACGACAGCTACGCGTACGACGTCAGAAAAATCAAACGTGAGACGGACGGGAGCTGCGCTCACGTTGTGCGCGCCGTCCGAATAGTCATAGACGCTGCCGAAGAGCGTCGTCGTCGTGTCGCTGCCGATGTACGTCGCCAGTAGGTGCTGCTTGCCGGGGCGCTCGATCAAGAAGTCAGCGCACGTTTAACGACCTGCTTCTAGACTGTAGATAGGTCAGTAAATGTCGTTGGACAACAGCGGACATATCAAGCTGGAACGTACAGCTCCTGAACGCCCGGTGCACACCCGAGGTCATCCTGCGCCGCCCACAGCCTCTTCAGCTCCATAGTCAGCTGGCCATTCTTGACTTAGCTCTCCGGGAACACCTTCAAGTCTCACCAGGCTCAGCTGCGCGCAAGTGGACAGCTTCATCAGGTCAAGTTGGTATTGCCTGATCACATTATGGAAGTTCGTCAGGAGCGGGAGGCGGAAGTCGTGATAGCCCTGGCTGAAGTGACGAGCGCAGTGGACTACGCGGAAGTCCACATATGCATATACACACGTAGAGGCGGTAGGTCGCGTAGATATTGAGCGAAGAGAAGAAGAATTTGCCCTCTCAGCCACCCCAGTGAAGTCCTGCAGCGATGGTGAGCAGGGCCGAAACGCAGCCGACAATCAGCCAGACGTACCACCGGTTGCCACTGGTCTATGCTCAGGTCGCTGATGTCGGCCGCACCAGGCTGGTATCGCGGCCTGATAGCCATCCAACTGATGTGAGAGTGCCGGAAGTCCCTGAGAAGGTTCGATGACTGGTGCATCCACAGATCTAGGCGAGACAGCTTAGCACAAAAGAAGGGGTAAGGTACGATATGGCAACGCACCAAGACCGATTATCAAGAGATAGATGACACTCCAGACGAATGTCCGCCCCTACGTCTTGATAGTGCGGATAGTACAGATGGCTACGGCGGAAGCAGCGGTGAGGAAGTCGAGGCTTCTGGTCTTTGAGTGTCCAGGCGACATGCATGTTGTCAGCAACGTTGATGTTCGCTGGAGGGAACCTCTTCAGGGCCGGCCCAGAGATGATGGCGGCGTTCGCGCCTCGAAGAAATGAACATCGGACCGAAGGCCGAGAACCGGAGCAGCGGGATCATGCCACATGTTTATCTTATCGATGTCCACTGGCCACCACATAGATACTGCCCGCGCCTAACGCTTTCCACCCGTTCTCTCCGTCTCGAGTCTCGACACCAGCAGTCACAGCGAAAGACAAAAAAAGCGACGCTTTGGAGCCTGGCATTATTCACATTGCATTCTACAGTACTGTAGTGCGACACCAAACCCGGACGTGGCACGCGCTGGCTGATAAGCTGCTCAAGGTTTGGGCATCCGCACCCCCCGTGCGAAATCATCAGGCTAATGGTGCTGCAATTATCTCAGCCATCGATCCCACAGCATGTGTCCTGACTCCTCCAGTAGGCTCGATACCAGCCTCCTTGCACCGAATAGTCACCTCGGTAGCCATTGCGACATATCAACCGCCATCCCACCCTCGGTACGTGCTCCTACCAACTATCGAGTAGACTGGTAACGAGTCTGCTCCTCCAGCTCGCCAGAGATTACCATTGCTGTTCTGCCATTCAAATTCACACGTACTATCCCGGTCCAGCTCCAGCTCGGCATTCATGTTCTTCTTCCGCCGTCCACTTTCCGCTCCAGACGAAATCTATGCATCTTGTCTCTCGACGCTACACGAGGGCCACGCCCTCTGGTACCCGGAGCCGCACGCATCAGGCGAGCCGCAAATAGGGGACGTCGGCTTCATACGCAAGGGAGCATTCATCAGACTCTTCAACCTCGACACATCTGCGCCTGAGAAGAAGGTCATAGAGTGGGACCCACCATTCGAAATCACAGAGCCACTGCCTCAGGGTGTGCTCAAAATCGATCCTAGGCGTCGTCCACTCGTCCCCGCCCATTATCGCAGTCATGGAGTCGAGAGCAAGCAGGCGCATGCTTCGGCAGGGGAGCTGCGTATCCAACATGTCCAAGTCCCGCTCATTGACTTACTTTGACATCACCATCGGCGGCCAGCCTGCAGGTTGTATCGTCTTCCATCTGTATGATGATATCGTCCTGAAAACTGCGAAGAATCGTCAAGCCCACGGTGGGAATTCAGAAATTGCATATAAGGGCCAAGTGGAGCGCCGCGACTAAGGTTCGTTTCGTGCTCGTATCCCGACATCTCTCACCTCTACGCTCATCCTACACACCTCGATATGTCTCCCCGTGAGTCGCTCTTGCGTGCTAGGATGGAAACCGCGCTGACAGACAGGGATCAGGCGGTCAGAAACACATTGCTGCTGAAGCCGAGCCTTGCACGACGCGCTCCAAGGTCGCGAAGACCGACGCACCAGCGAATGGCAAGGCTGCTGCAAAGAGTGCAAAGAGGGGCTCCAAGGTGCGCAGACCGCCTTTGTCCGCGTTGTATCTGTGCTGAGCGCGCCGTAGGCTTCGCTGGGTGCTGCGGTCTTCAAGGCGAAGGCCCTCCTGACCCACGTGAACCTCACCCACACGCCGCCTGTCCTGGCAGAGGATGCGAAGAACGTCGTACAGACAGACCCGGGGTTCATAGGTCAGACGTCGCTGGCGCCGACGACGTTCAGCACGGGCAGCTATGGCTGGAAAGCGTCACTTTCGAGCTCGAGAACGAGACGGAAGAGAAGGAGAAGTTACAGGTCATGATGACGTGCGTCGGTGCTCGTTTGTCTGGTGGTCGCGTGCTAACCGTGAGTTCACAGGTTCAACGCGACTGTCATTGGCAGCAAAAACGCTGTCCTGCTGCGCGCTGTTGCACCGTCTTCGAGGACCAGGCCGAGGTCGCGACACGGCGCCTGCGCGCGCTGGACGATCCCGAGCATGTCAGCGTGGTTCCGACGTAGCATATGCTGAGTCCCACAGGCCGCCGGCACCGCCCGGCCATCGTTTGTCTCGATGCACCTCGAGGAGATGGCGCGCGAGGGCACGCGCAACACCGAGGCCGGCTCGTTGCACTCAGCAAGAAGTCCCAGAACGACTTCGTCATCGCGCTCGGTGGCGGCAAGATGATTGACACTGCTAAGTGCGTTACAGACCTGCTCCAGCCACCCGTCGCAGTCCTGCCCACGACGACGTCGACGGACGCACCATGTTCCGCGCTCTACACGCCGAACGGCTCGTTCTAAAATAATTCCGCGCCCAGTCGCCTTTGGCGCGGTCGCGCAGCTCATCTTGAATGGCGCCGACTTCGCGGAGCTCGACCGCTACATCGAGGCACGAGCCATATTGGTGCCACTGCCGCCATCCCTCGCACGAAAGTACGTACATTGTTTCACCATGTGGACGTCAGCTTGTTAACCCTGTCAAAATCCCACTGACAGGACTTACTGTCGCGACACTTGGAAGGCCGAGCACCCTGACTGCCAAGAGGACTTGGCTGCCTTTGAGGCCTATTGGAAGGGCCTCACCGAGGGAGAAAAAAGGGTATGTTATATGATATCTGTGGATGATGGCAGTTTCTGATTCATTGTGGATGTGTTCATAGACGTTCAATAATCTTGCAGCTAAGGCGGTGAGTATACGGATTCATAGGAGAGTTACTTGGCATACTGACAGCAGTGCAGAAGCATCAGCTGAATCGGACGGCGGCGAGCACGGCGTAAAGTCAGAAACGGTAGGTCTATTCGCATTCACATCGTCTCGCGCTAACTAGCTGGAAATCACCGTGCAGATACAAGCGGCTAGGTGAAGAGAGCCGCGTGGATGGGGGTATTTATGGGTATGTGGTGTGCTACTGTATGAGATGTAGAGGAGAGGCGACCTGAGTGTGTAACCGTAGATAGCAGTATATCTGGGTGTATCACAATTTATGAAGAAGAGAAAATTGCGTGGATGGGGGTGCCTCACAGTCCAATACACCTACCGTGGTCGCGGAGTAGATTTGAGTCAACCCGGGTGGATGTAATATTCACTGGGGCGCAAGGGTTGGGCTGTTTATTAGAGTGCCGCGCGGTGCTTCTCATTATCGGTGAAAGCTCAGTGCTCAGGAGTCAGTGCTCAGTGTTCTTTGCATACAATCAGTCCCATAGCGACACGTACGTACGAGTGAATGCAAAGGTCCAATACGAGTGACCCACGACGTGAGCGCGTACTGACTATTGTTTCCGGCTCTTATGGATCTCACTCCCATGGTCATACTCGGCACTTACTGCTGTTCATCTCGGCACTTACTGCTATTCATCTCGTACTAGTCCTTTCTCAACTTCGTATCTCAGGCACAACGACGCTTTACGACTCTCACCTTCCGACTCAAATCCCTCACAGCCTCAAGCGCAAGGCTTGCCAGGTCGTCTCGTCTCGGCATGCATTCAATGTTTGAGGGCTGTCTCCACTCTCCACCAACGACCTCTAGGTCAATTGTGGCCTGCTCTCGAGTCTTTGCTGTGCCGCTCAAAAACGCGTCTGGTGGCGCTGCTGCAGTCAATATTTTGCTCAGTTACCGTCTGACTGCAAGGCAAGGCGAGCTCTCGCGTTTCCCCCATCTTTCTAGCTGGGACTTGCCGTTCTTTTGAATACTCTTAAGTTTCTTCAACAACGCCCTGTGGACATGCAGTTAATCCCGGAAGAGACCTTTCTCCGGTAAGTGCTCGCGCAGGCTCTGTTACCCGACCTAGCTTATTCTTATCCAATGTAAGGCTACCAACTCCACGGAAGCGGCTCGTCGAGCGGTACCATAGCTCCATCTGCCATGGTCTACACCCTGTTCCTACTGCACAGACTGTGTGGCTTGTTGCCCTGGTCCAGGACCTCGGCACGTGCCTCGGGCTCTTGTCCCTCTAGTGCGTGCCACATGACGCTCCAGGCAACATCAAAGGCGACTACGGCGGTGCAGGCGGTGGAACGGAAGCTGCACGAAGGTTCGAAAGTACCTCTCCATCGCGGCGTTTGAGCGCACGAAGTAGGGATGCGGCTGCGACAGGACGAGGCTCATGAAAAACAGACAGGTGTGCCTAAATCGGCTGAGCAAAACTCAACACTGACTTTCGCTCAGAACCTACGCACCCGCATACCGAATTATCGGCATTCGGCATGTTCTAGGCACCAGAACACAACCTCACAAACTATTATTGAAACCTGTGCTGCCACCGACGTCGCTCTGCAGAGCAGCAGCCTATCAAAGCGTGCACCGGATCACACCGCGCTGCCACGAGCAAACGGAGCGAAGTTTAGTGTCTTTGTTGACATGTACGCATTTACCCATGTCCCAGCTTTCGTACACTCACATTACATATACGGCAGTGCCCCTGCATCGACGAGCTGCTGCGTCGAGCAGCTACAGCGCCGGCGTGGATTAGGCGGGTAGTGTTTGTTCGTTGTTCGAGAGACCGGTGGTGTTTCATTTGCAATCTCGTGTGGTGAAGGCGTAGTGTCTTTTGGTTGCGAATTCTTTACTTACTCAACAGACGGATGCTGGCCCTTCTTTGTACAATGTCTTCGAGAGTACAGAGTAAGGCAGGATTACTTACCGGCCTGTGAAGAGTCGAATGACAATCTGATCTACATCAATGGCGCTGTGTGGTCTTGAGCTGTTGGTAGTTAACAGGTAGTATTTCGATGTGCACAAGTTGTATGTGACCCAAAGTGGATGGCGAGAGCTCTGGCTTCAAAGCCCCACCAGTGCGCATGCTAAAGGGATCACTGTCCAAACTGTTTATCGCTTGTTGGGCGCTTATTTTAGGCAATCTACTACTCATCTTTTCCACATATTGTGCCTTTCAAAGAATGCTGTAGACGGTTTTTTAAAATATTTTGGGACTGTATCTGCCTTGGTTTTTAAACATGCGATTTTAGACCAGAGTTAATATATGGTTCTAATCCCAGCCAGATTTGTAGTGAAGCACAGCTATAGAATTTGAAGAAGTTCAAGAGTAAAATTCAAAAGCTGTGTGTGTATAGGTCATGTATGTTCCGTGCTCGTGCAATTTTTTGGGTCAGTCTGTCCTCTGATTGAGCAAGATGATGAGTAGACAGTAATTATGTTATGTTATATCACCGGTAGAAATATCAGGAAAATGCAAAATGGAGAAGCCTCAGACGGTTTTTTTTTCAAGGTAATCTGAAGGGATATAAGTCTGTACTCAATATACTACCCAATTCTCATCCCTAAGTTGCAAGTCCGTGCGTGGGCCATTGAGCGCTCACCTGGGTTGACCCACACCTACCGAGACACGGAGGATACCGAGAGATACTCTCTTCTGTCTCGGCACTTTTCTCGCGCCATCCCTCGCCTACATCGCTGCCAGATGCCTTCATTCGACGGCCTGGCTCCTATGAAGCTTACATGAGCTTCTCCTGGTAGCAACAGGAGTGAGCCAGTGGGAGGCATCGATATGGACATAGAACCGGTATGTGCACTTGCCTTGATCCACGATGAGCGCCTAAATCAGGACATCTCTTTGTTCGGGGAGAGGACGCGGATGCTGAGAGCGAAGCTGAGAGCGAAGACACCGACGCCGAGGACGAAGAAGTCGACAAGCTGATGGACGTCGAGCGACCTGCACGAGGACACGTTTGGCGAGCCGCTCTCATCGTCGTGAAGCCCGAGGCCCGGCACTGCCGCAGCAAGCACACCAGCAGGCACACCGCCCTCGCCCACACTCTCACCCGAGGTCCTGCCCCCTGTGGCGCTCCCGTGTGTCCTTCCGTTCTCCATTGCAGCCAATTTCAGGATGCATGCTCGTGCCGGACAGCACGCAGGTGCGTGCTGTCGCCGTCGCCACCCCCCACCGGGCTGGCCGCGTGTACGCCTCGCAGCTGTTACGGCGGCGGAGGCTGTTACGGGAAGTACGTGGACCTCTCCGCGGTACACTCAGATTACTAACTCCATTGGAATTCTACTTGTAGGTCCTACTGCCGTGACATTTGGATTGCCGAGAACCCTGAACAGGGCTTGGCCGGCTTTGATATTTACTGGAAGGGCCTCACCCAGGCAGACAAGAAGGTGCGTGCCAGTCGTGCCAGTCATATCTGAGGGGATTCTCTTGAATCTTATTCGGGGCATGCGCACCATCTATCTCGTATCTCACTCTCACTCTCTCACCTTCCCGCCCGCGAGCCGCCACACCTGGTGCGTTGCGCGCCCATCTCTCTTGAATACTGACAGAGCATTTATTAGGCTTGCCAATAGTGTTTCCAGCCAGTACAAGCACGGCGCACAGATTCGGTAACTTCACATGGCCTCGGAGGTGCGTGTCCTCCTCTGGGCACGACTTCTCTCTAATCTTCATCGGCGGCATCACGCAGCTAGGCAAACAACGCTTCATGACTCAGACAGACATGATCGTGCCGGACTGCCTGAGGTCGCAATCATCCAGCATGAGTCAGAGCCGTCATGAGATGTGAGCAAGGACGGTGTCTCGTACAGCGGAACAATGCCGAGCTTTCAGGTGGACGTGCCTCCTCTTTTTCTTTTTTCTTTTCTCAAGTGCAGATAACCAGCATCTGTATTATCAGGATTTTTAGTCTAGTCAAGGTTAATAGTATGGTATCATCACTGAAAGAGTGTCTGCGGTAATGAAGATTGTCGGAAATGTGAGATCAAAGATTATAAGAGATGTAAGATTATAAGTCGGTACGGCAAGATTAGAAGAACAATATAGTAAGATTAGAAAGGATTTGAGTTTACGTATGAGCGTATGAGCTTATAGGAAGAATTGAAATTATGGAACATAACACAGGTGCAGCGCGCACGCGAACAGAGCTTAGAGCTTAGAACGCGAACAGAGCTTAGAGCTTAGAAGCCGAGCGTCGGAGGATTATCCTCCCATGGGTTTGGCAGGCCAGCTGGAGGCCTGTAATGCGAGGGGGAAAACAGGGTGGTGTGCGGAGAAGTCCTTTCACCATCAGCGGGAGGTGCGCGGGAGCCAGTCAGTTCTTCGTCATCCGAACTCAACACTACGGTTATAGTGTCGGATGGTACGGTTCTGGTCTTGCGGTGAGGCAGCTGTAGCTTTGGCTGAGTTAGCGTTGACAGTATCTTCTTCCGTGCTGACTTGGATGGGCTTGCTTGAGCGGTATTGGATGGGCCTGCTGCGGCGTTCGAGGGACCTGCGATGTTGGAAGGACCTGTGCCATGCATCCCATCAACAAATTGCTCAGGTGGTAAAGAACATGCTTACCCGCAAGAGAAGCTGCCATCATTGTAGAAGGTCCTGCCCGTGGAAAGGTTGGAAAGATTCTTCTCTTTTTCAGAACCGGTCGCGGTATTTCCACAACTGAATCTGTGGACGGAGGCCTGCAGTTAGCACATGGGGGCGATGAGAATACCTATGGTGCGGTGCGTACCTTCTGAGCTTGAATCAATATCTCCTGTCTTCTCCTCAGATAACTTGCGTTTGAGATCACTGGGCGCAAGCTCTTCTTCGATGAGTGGTTCGAGGTGAAGATCTGCTGGTGGTCCATGCATGAGACTAAAAAGAAGATCCCTTGGCACAGGGTCATCGTCGTCACCATCAGAAGAGGGCGCGGAAGGAAAGCTGAAATCCTCGATCGGGTCAACATCCTTGGCAGCAGCCTTTCCTTTGCCTTTCGCCCGCCCTGTCTGCCCATCCACATCCACCGCAGCAGCCTTTTCCTTGCCTTTCACCAGCCCCTTGCTCCTGCTCTCCAGCCTCTTGCTCCTGCTCTCCAACCTCTTGCTTTTGCCTCGTGCGGCGGTAGTTGCAGTTGGTGACTCAGGTGAGATTTCTGCCTTATATGTCTTGTGCCCACCCGCTTTCCAGAGCTTGAGAATATGGCGGGGAATCTCTTTGCGCGCAGCTACAAATGATTCAGAAGCTTGAGACTATGCCAGCTCCAAATTGAACTTAGGAGCTTACCAATTATAAGCGCACTACCAGCCTTGCGATCACCACCCCTACACGTGCGAACAGCTTCAGCTGTAAATTCTTCGCCATCACCGTCATCGTATACATTGAGTCGCTGATGCCGCCTCCAACAGAGAACAAAGGGCCGGTCTGAGTCTGGCTGATCAGAAGCTCTGCTATCCTCGTACGCCTTGTAGTGTGGGAAAGCAGCATTAATGGCTTCCTCAATCGACACTGGGCTGTCAGTAAGATAGAACGGCTTATTCCAATTCTTCACTGCTAGGCCATTCTTTTCAAGCTTAGGCAGCTCTTGCTGCGCGGGAGCCTTGGAGTCTGCCAGAACTATGTCACCCTCATCCTATATGCAGGTAAGTTCAGCACTTAAATTGAGCCTGAGATAGAGGCTGCGTACATCTATCTCAGTACCACAGATGATGAGAACAATGGCCTCCACATTGAAGGGTTTTTTAGCCTCTGCCGCACCGTCCTTTTGCTTGTTGACATTGCCGCTGCTCTTTTGAGCAGCCATTGTCCCACCGCTGGAGGCCTAAGTGTGGTAAGTATTAAACTGCCACAAGAGCCCATGAGCTAACTACACCGACCTTCTGTGACCGAGTTCGCTTCTTCATAGAAGCCACAATGGAGTTCGCGCGCCGCAAGCCTGCGTTAGTCTCTCGGCGAGCAGTACTTATATCCATCTTTGGCTTTGGGAGCTTGAGGCTAGCCCGGATGCCACCCAATGAGTCAATAACAGCTTGTACCTCTTGGTCACTGTTGCCTGAGGTGGGTGATTCACCGCCGTTGTTGTTGTTGGAGCCTGACATAAAAAAGAGAGAGAGAGAGAGAATGGCTTGCAAACAAGCAAACAGAACAAAGAGAAAGAGTGATAGAAAGAGTGGGAGGTGGGTTAGGCTGATGCTATTATGCTAATAGATAGAAAGAGTGAAAGGATAGGTGGAGGCAGTCGCACAGGCAGGCCAACTTAGGCCAACTACGGAACCCGGATGTGATCGGGTAGGTGCCGCGTAGCCTCATTGCCCCATTCCTGCGTGTGCATAGCCCAATTCTAATTCTAATTCCTGCGTAGCGCGGCATGTAGCATTAACCAGTACAAGGTACTATTCCCTGTCCATTAATATTCTAGTCATAATGTCCAAACCACAAGTCCACAACTCTGCTCGAGGTAGCCAAATGCTACCTGGCAGAGAGATGGCCATTTCTCGGCCACGTTTTCCTACAGGAAGCATCTCTATAGAGAGATACTCACCATTCTCCCACTCTTCAGGAAGCAAGCCATAGTTAGAGGGTATGATGCGGTCTTGGTGAGCCATTTTAAGTGCTGCACAGAAGGTTATCTCATCACCGCCACTAAAAGGATTGGTGCTGGCAGGAACCTCTATCTCTTCGAGGTCGTCTTCACCAGGTTGGCCTTCGCCCTCCTCTTCACCTCTAGCGTCGCCCTCATCTTCGTCAGCAGAATGTCCTGCGCCCGTTTGTCCTAGAGCGCGCCTAATAGCTTCTCCATGTACGCCGTAGTGCTCTGCTAGAATGTCGGGGTGCACACCTGCCATGTCATCAATATAAATACCATCCTTCATCTGCCCTATTAGTCGCATATCCTAAAACACTAATTAGACAAAAAACGCTGGTAAGATGGACAGAACACAGGACGAACGTTTGGGCTCCTATTTCCTGGAAGGCCAGACATGGGATGTGCGTTCCACTGCTGCCTGAAGCTATCGCAGTCTGCCTGTATCCTATCCAGAAAGAGGAGCTGGAGCAACCACAAGTGGTTCGGGTCACCAACATCCAAAAAATGTATACGTTCGAGACGGGTGAAAAAAGCCCTCCATTGCCGCACGAACTGGGTACCGACCTCCACCCACATGCGCTCAATGCGAGTGTTGTGTGTCGAGCTTGTAATAACATCAATTGCCAAGCTCTATGCTGCTTCAGAAATAAATTTCACTTACGAGCCCCAAATGAATGAACCGCGGTTGGCACCTCTGCACAGGATCATAAAAATGGATACGTCCTTATTCTCTCCACCTCTATCACCTCGTACGCGGGAAGGAAGCCCATATTCACGAACAGCACTTGCGAAGCTCTCCAAAACAGTAATAGATCGATTATTTGTGCTTGCCTTCAGTGCCACCATCTGTGTGCAGGCGATTAGTTTACTTTTGCTGCAGAACTGAGCTTACTTCTAATTTTTACCATGCGATCAGCACCATCTGCTCCACCATGCAGAACAAAGCCCCAGCGGATGAGTTTATGATGGCCATCAATATGCCAAAGTGCGTTTGGACGTTTAACCTCATATGTGCGCCTTCGAATGACGATGCGTGTTCGAAGGGCTCTTCCCACAGAGTCTACACGGGAAACAGATGAGCGCACTCGTGTCCATTGGATTCGAAGACCCTGTGATCGCAAGAAGCCAATAAGGTACCGGAGTCCTGTCTGAGGCTTTGCCGCTCTGTAAGCCCTGACGATCTTGTCTAAGTCGCGGTCTGAGAGGTTGGAGAAGGAGTAGTCAATTTTATAATGCTTGAGATGACTGTACAGTGTATTCCGACTGAGTCCGACAAGCTTAGCAAGCCTGGAAACAGAGATCTTCCTTTGTGGAGACATGGCGGCATGGAGATATGCAACGTCGACTGTTTTCCTCGGTCGACCTCTCCTCCCTGTCCTAACAACATTGACAGGCTGCATCTGTACTGTAGTCAAAGATTCTCTGACAGTATTTCTTAGCAGCCGCCAACCTCATGATGTGTAAAGTAAGTGCTTACATTCCCTCCGCATTTTGAAATGCTGACCACAGAGATTGAACCAGATCTGCCACAACTTGTGCACAGGTCAGGAGCCAGTCATGAGGAATGCTCTCTGATGGAGCTGCATTATCCAAAGCAAGGAGTAGTGGGCAGATGTCCGACGTAAGAGCTTCTATCTGCAGCTTAAGTCGAACTGGGTCGGGCTCAGCAGTTTGAAGCATGCGGTGTGCCCGGTCACACCCGCCAGAGATTATTCGGTATGCTGCCAGTATATTTGGAGACCATGAGAGGTTATTGGAGAGGGCAGGAAGCAGTGGAATTGTGGCCATGACACAGAGTGGAATAGCACAATAGCACGGCGAACAGAAAGGCAAGCAAGGGCGCTTGACACTTCTCACTTCTGCTCAGGCTCTTCACTGCTCTGCCAGCTCATCACCTCCCGCACGCTCATACACTACTTACTCTGCTCACTGTTCAACCATGGATCTTGCAGCTGGCATGGAGGAAAATGTGCCTGCATCTGCACCTGCACCTACACAGAGCATAGAGCACTATGCAGATGACGGAGACCTGGTGCTTCAGGTATGTCAGCATGCAGCAATAAATGTGTTGCGCGGGACTGAGACCTGAGCCAATCAGGTTGATTCCACCATTTATAAAGTACATCGGTCGCTGTTTCGCATGCATTCGGAGGTATTTGCAGGCATGTTTACCCTTCCAAGCCAGCTAGAAGGGTCTTCCGATGAGCATCCGATGAAATTGGAGATTGTCACATTTCCTGAAAATCAGCCGGTGTCGAGTCAAGATATAGACTACCTGCTGGACTGGCTCTACAATAAGTGCGTGTCCATAGTTCATATTTTCACCACTTACCACAACATCTCTTTAGAGGCGTCCAGGTCCCACCTTACCCGGTGAAAATGCTCCTTGCAGTCTTGCGACTGGGGACATTGTGGGAAATTACCCCTGCTTGCAAGTGGGCAGTGCATTTCTTGACAGAGACGACGGAGTTGGATCCATGTGACCGCGCGCAACTTGCACGGTGCTATCGGGTGGCCAAGTGGGTTGACCCTGCCTTCCAGGCTCTTTACCGCAGGCCTCTAAGCACTCTTACCGACACCGACATGAACAAGATTGGCCTGAAATTTCTCTCAGTCTTGGCCAAGGCTAAGGAAGCCGTCCATGCCCGGAGCCTCCACATGGCAGGGTATCCGCCGGTGATAGCACATGTCATGTGTGAGAATCAAGCCCAATGCACTGCTGCATTCGAAGAGGCTTGGTGGACGAAGGTGGCTAGGCGCGTCTTGTGTCCGAAGGAACCTCTTCCTTTGGTTCAGATCGTGTATCATTTCCGTAAGCTCCACATATGGGGAATGGGTGCGCTATGCCAGCTTGAGACTGCCGCGATCATAGAGATGAGTGGGCGTCATATTTTTGAGGAGAGCACCATCAAGCAGGCCGTGCAGGCCATAATTGCATATAATAAAACACTGGTATGTTTATTATTACCGTTTTTTCTCAAGATTCTCACAGGAATTTGCAGTAACCGCCTGCCGGCTACCAGCTTTTCTTATGAACCAGTGTCTCTTCTTGGATGTGTATACACTACCCCAATCTAATCTCACTTTCATCTTACAATGCTGAGCAGTGCTTGGCAAGCCAGGAGCTTGCTGCTGCTAAGGCAAGGAATTTAGTTGGAGCCTGCTGCTGTTACGGCAAGGGCAAGGAATTTAGTTGGCGCTCACAAATGCGGTGTGAAAGTAAGATCTTAACTGAATGTACGCTTTAGTCCAACATGGCAGAAGGAGCATGGCAGACTGGCCACCGCTGACATCTGAAGCATCTGCCGGTGTTGATATACTCAGTGAAGAAATAGTGCGCGAGCTCTTGCGTTTTGCGCGCTTTGATATGGAGGGATGCGCGCTGAGCGCTGAGAACCTGGCCCGCTACCATCATCACATCACCCGAGCCAACTCTCTCGCAACACCACCACCCACGCTATCACTCACTTTCAGCCCCAATAGTACCCTCAAAAATGTTTCCAGCATTTAATGAGTCTACTGTTCGGTCGACTCACTGAAAACTCCGGTAGCTTCGGACAGACGGAGGAGGAGCAGACTTGGCTTCCGCTGCCAACTTCTGGCACGCCGCTGCTCCCAATGCATCTTGTCTTGCCTATACCAGTAAGCAAGTTACAATCTGAACAATACACACACTCTCAACGTTTCCAGGCCTTGGTATGCTGCTTCTATATGTACGTTTGGGTCTACACAAAGCGGATCCGCGAGGTTGCTACCCGTATCCAGATGGACACCCGTACGTATCTTGGTATCCTGTTCCTTTCCTAGCCTGTTGACATATTGGTTCAGATCTTGTGCAGCAGAGTATCTCTGAGAAGGTCGCTGGCTCTTGTGCTTTCTTCCATCCTGCCATGTATCAGCATCACTGGTGCCGGCATGAACAAGTTCATTTCTGCCTACATGCAGCTCTCGCTCAGGTTATCTCCACTGTTCGTACTGCACATGCTTTCGGTTCCCAGAAGGTTCTCGGAGACTTGTAAGGACGACATGAACGCGGCTTTTTGGCATGGCGGAGGACTTGTTGCATTTTTCTTCATCATTTAAAACGCTTACCCAGAGCAGCGAAGGTACGTTGCCATTATGAATGTGTAAGAGTATGCATCTTATTGATCCTTCAGCGAACGCCGGCGACGTCGTCGACGTCTTTTTCGCTATCCTTTTCGGCTCGTTCTCGCGTTGCTTGCTCCCGAGATGCAAGGTGCGCGTCATGTCATTCCATATGGTGAATAGCCATTCACACACTCCCCCTAGCTATCACATGTGCCCGTGGCACTACGAAACCATCGACCGCGTTCCAGGATTGACTCGTTGTCCCCTACCGAGAACTGCGTTGGTGAGATCTCGCTCGGGCAACGATAAGTTCAACTACCCGTCTTGGTCGAGCGCTTCCACGACCCACTCGAGGAAGCTGTCCGACTCGATGGCGTTGATCTGCGAGAGCTCAACGTCAAGTGGCTCCGCTCGCAAATCGGACTTGTATCCCAGGAACCGACATTGTTCGCCGCACGCTCCGGAAGATGAGAAGATGGCGTTATCAAAAAGGCATGCACCGCGGCCAGCACAGACGGCTTCATTTCCAAGCTGCCGCTCGGCTACCAGACTATGGTCGGCGAGCGTGGCTTCTTCATGTCTGGCGGCCAGAAGCAACGCATCGCCATCGCGTGTGCCGTCATCTCAGATCCTCGCATTCTGCTCCTTGACGACGAGGCCACTAGTGCACTGGACACCCAGAGTGAGGGTATCGTGCAGAACGTGCTAGACAAGGCTGCCGCGGACCGCACGACGATTACGATTGCGACGGCCTCGTCCTCGAGCGAGAACAGCCTGTACGCGTGCCTCGTGAGTGCCCAGAAGCTCCGTGAAGCCCGCGAGAAGGCGTCGCAGCCCAAGGGTGACGACGGCAGCGACACGGCAGCTGGCAACAAGACCCCTGAAGAGAGCATTGAGAAGCAGGCAGAGGAGGAGATCCCACTCGGTCGCTCGCAGACGGGCACGCGCTCGCTTACTTCGGAGATCCTCGAGCATCGCGACCAGGGAAAGGAGACGGGCAAGGCACAGAAGTACTCATTCTTCTACCTATTCAAGCGCATGGGCAGAATCAGCCGAGGTATGTGGCCCCAGTACCTCATAGGGCTTATTGTGGCATTCTGTGTGTATTGGTTATTGTTGTCTAAGCGTATCATGGATTCTGACACCATCTATAGTGATCGGCTCTGTCTATCCTTCCTTCGGTCTCGTCTTCGACAAGGACGAGAACAGTGCAGGTCAGCTTACGTCCAGCTTAAGTGACAATCTGCAGAAGATACATGGCCTCGCCGGCGTGGAAGCTTGGTCGGTCTCACCTGCGTTCCGCTTGTCATCTCGGGCGGTTTCGTTCATCTGCACGTCGTTGTTATCAAGGATCAGAAGAACAAAAAGGCGCACGAGCACTCCACTCACCTCGCCTGCGAAGCTGCTGGTTCCATCCGTACGGTTGCTTCTCTCACCCGTGAGGAGGATTGCCTCCATCTGTACTCCAAGACTAGCTCGTTCTGGTCCAACATGCTCTACACGATCACGCAGGTGGTGTCCTTCTTCGTTATCACTCTCATTTTCTGATATGGCTCGCACCTCGTCTCAGCTCTTCATCGCGCTCCAAACGACCGTCTTCAGTTCCATGCAGGCGGACAATGTGTTCTCGTTCGTGCCTGACATGTCCTCTGCTAGGGGCGCTGCGGCGGACATCGTCAACCTCCTGGACTCCGAGCCTAGCATTGACGCCGACGGTACCGAGGGCAGCATCCACTTCGAGAACATCCACTTTTGGTACTCCACTCGTCCCGGTGTGCGCGTTCTGCGTGACCTCAACCTCACTGTCGAGCCTGGCACCTACGTGGCGCTTGTCGGCGCGTCAGGATGTGGAAAGCGTACGACCATCCAGCTTGTCGAGCAATTCTACGACCCACTAATGGGCACCCGTCTACCTCGATGAGCAGCCCATCGAGTACCGCAAGCACATCGCTCTGGCCTCTCAGCAACCAGTGAGTCATCGTCTGTTCCATTTAAAATATGACCATGCTGACTTATAGGTAGACGCTGTATGCTAGTACCATCCGCTTCAATATCCTCCTTGGTGCGACGAAGCCTGCTAAAAAAAACTCAAGGCCGTCATTACCAGACAGCTTCGACACCGAGGTTGGTGGTAAGGGCTCCCAGCTCTCCGGTGGCCATTGCGATTGCGCAGACGACTCGACCTTGGAGAAGATTGTGCAGGAAGCACTCGACAGTGCTGCCAAGGGCCAGACAACGATCGTGATTGCACATCGTTTACCGACCATCCAGAACGCAGACTGCATGTGAGTACTCCTCTACTTCAGGGCTATAAGTAGCGGGTGGTGACGGCGCGGCAACAGATACTTCATCAAGGATGGTGCAGTCCGCAAATCTGGCACCCACGACGAGCTCATCGCGCTGCGTGGAGGCTACTACGAATGTGTCCAGATGCAAGCACTCAACAAGAGGTAATAAAACTCTACAGGCATCTTTTCACATGTTTCCCTCTGCACGTACTATCTTACTCTCGACCAATGATGCCTCGGGCACACCCCTTTCATCTGTATATCAATCTAGTTGCCAACGTTAGTTTAGCTACTTTTGCACTTAGTCCCATGTAGGGATTTTTGGGCCAGAGCACTGCGCCATCGTTGCTATAAGACCTTTCTGAACCATAGAACGGCATGCGGCTATGCGGTTATAGACCATGCTTTACCTGACTGTAACAAGGTAACTAACGGTTTGTAAAGGGGCTTGTAAAGGGGCTTGAAGCGCGTGTGAGTTGCCATGAGAACTTGGCCCGCTATACCGTCATCACATCACCCGAGCCAACTCTCTCGCAGCACCAACTCTCCTTTTCCCCATCAGCCGGAGTATGGCGATATGAGGCTCATTGTTGAAAGAGATATCGTGCAGGACCCCTCAAGCAGCACAAGCGAACACTGACTATATCCAATCCAAACACGCAGCTGGTTGCGCTCAAGGTCAAGACGACTGTTCTGAAGGTGCTCTGTGCTCTCTCTCGCCACTGCTTGTCTGACGTTGGACTCGCCCCCAGTTGCCCAGTTGTACTGCTTACGACCGAACTTGGGCCGAGTCGAACCAAGCGAGACCGTCGAGGTTCAAGGTGCGTTGTCTCGTTTGTGCTGTCTCCTGACTTACCAACATGGCTCGTAGTTGTCCTTCAGTCAATGAAGGGGATGCTCCTGCTTGGCGCAAAGTGCAAAGACAAGTTTCTGATCCAGAGCATGCTTATCACACCAGAAAAGGAGACGCTGCTGCTCACAGACATTGTATGCATCTTTTACCTGACTTTCTGCGAGTTAACTCAGTGGGTGCTATAGTGGAGTGGCGAGCCAGCAGAGGACACTATTCACTTGCACAAAATCTGTGTTGCCTACCTGCCACCGGAAGGGCAAACTGTGCCGATCCCAGACTTCGCACAAGACCACAGCTTCGAGGGTCTGCAGACAGATGCTGAACAGCACCACGATGCGCGTTCATCTCTTCCACCACTGGCCGAGCCCGTTTTCCATGCTCCTCCAGTGCCCACGCCAATCGCGCCAATGCTGCGTTTTCCCTGTTCTCAGGCGGGAGCCTTGGAGTATCGATGCAGGACGGCAAGCTGGTGGTCTTAGATGGTCGGCATTTGGTCAGCATGGTGGGTGCGTGTGAGTATCGGGCATGAAGGCCTGACGCTGACACGTTGTCCTCAATAGCCTGAAAGCACATGCATGGGTTGAAGGCAACGACTGGCGATGCTACTCTTCTGTTGCATCTGGTACTCACAGGTACGATGTCTCAAGTGCCGTCCCGCAGCGCCTTCTAATGAATCTACACGTTCAGAACCAAGTAGATGCGCTTTTTGACACTCGTATCTCGTGTCTCGTCGCTGCCTCCAACGTCTATCCTGCCTTTGAACACTCCCAACCAGTTGACTGCACACTCGACCAGTTCCCGTCCGGTGCGACGTGGGGTGCGACGTGGGCGACAACGGTGCGCGCTCTTGATATACCAATTATGGTAAGCCGATCAAAGGCAACGACCTAGCGGCACTCAGACGACCTGACAACCACCACCCTGCCTCATGGTTGCCCACTACCCACAACTACTGCAGCGACTGCCCCTACAGTGACTGCCCCCAACAACCACTGTCAGCAGTGGCCGCACACGACTGTCTGCAGCGACTGTCCCGCAACGATTGCCGCTGCCGCGTGTCACGACAGAATCCTAGTTTTGTGCCGCTGTGTGGCCTCCAACATGCGCTGTTCACAACTCACCTGCACCTACTACTGACTGTTTCAGACTAGCCGGCTAAGGAAGTGGGTCTAACTTGACCTTACTAGCTACTCTGCCCCTCACAATAGTGTATATAGCTTACTATCCTATTTTATTTTTATTTTTCTGAATTTATTGATTTTGGTGGAATTGTCTTTGGCTTCTTCCACTTGGTCTTGATCAGGACGCCTTGAGACATGGATGGCTGTCCCCAGAAATTTACGGTTTGACTTTAAAAGATCTACGGTTTGGTCTCAAGTTTCCGATTTAGAGAAATCAGAGAAATCCGTGCGGATGTGCTAGCCAAAAGTATCCGGTCTACCTTTCGAGACAAAACTTCCGGTGGCCTATGCTTAGCCAAAAGTATCCGGTCTACCTTTTGAACAAAACTTCCGGTGGCCTATATTATCCGGCTAGAACAGGAAACCTCCGGTGTACTGATGTACTGATACAAACAAGTAACTCCGGCCAACCTGCAAGGAGCAAATATTCCAATGGTGCACAATCCTCATTTCCCGGTCATCTCCAATGTATGCGAAGTCTACGTTTTAGCTGATATTTACTCAAAGTATACGGTTTTGGCCGACATTTGCACGGTTTGAATTTTTGAGCACATTTACCGCCATATACTCATTCAGTACGGATCGGACGTGTGCCTTTGTACTGTCCTCTCCTGACATCATAACTTGGTGAGCAGAGCAGACGGAACGAGCGCTCTTGAGTCCTGGAAGGACGGCTTGGAGGTATAAAAGCTGGGCAGACAGCCCTCAACGTACTGCAGCAGCACACTCGTGTCGCAGCTTTTCACTCCTACCTCGCTATCCTTCACAGTACGCTCCTCATTGTACTTCCTCGTTGTATACACCGCTGACTGGCCGCTTCCATCCTTCAGATGCAGTTCTCCGCACTCATCGCTACCCTCGCCCTCGCCATCGGCATGGCCAACGCTCAGGCTTGCACCTCCTCTCTCTGCGCCACTATCGAGACAGGTTTCAGCGCGCCCCAGCCCATCGTGCTCGACAATTTCGTAGAGTGCTGCGCCGGTACCACCTGCACGACCACCACTTCTGAAACGTTCGAAATCTCTGGGCTCACCATCGAATTTGCTACCGGGGTACCACTTTCTCTCGCAATGCCGCGCCCTCATATTGCTGATCTGTTCGCGTTTTTCAGACGTGCGCAGCTTGAGCGATTGCTCAACATTCGGCTACCGCGGTGCACGGCTTCGATGGAAGGCGGAGATTGTATGAGCATATACGGATGATCATGGAGAATGAATATGTTTTGGCGGTGTTATTTCACAGGATCTTTCAGCAAGATCAGTGTGTTCAGCGCCACTTGCTTGTGCGGCAGCAGACATTGATTCTTGGGCGATGAGGCGAGTGGAAAGAAAAGGCTCAAGGTGATGGACCGGCAAGAGCAGTCATCGTGGATATTGAACAACGAAAGGGTTTTCTCTTCCTCGCATCGGCCTGAGCCGTGGACTTATCCCGACTCTGCCAAAAGAGGTAGGGCGCATCAGAACCCCCAACATACACAAATAACTCTCACGCCTCAGAACTGGCGGAAGCCTTCGCCGCCGTGCTGCTGCCGCCTCATCTCTTCCTTCTGTTCTTCTGTGCTCTCGGTATAGGATGCACTGCCGTCACCGCCGTGCCACGTCCCCCATCCGTACTCCCTCGCCGCCCACTCGACAACCGCCTCGAGCTCCGCCTTGCTGATCTGCTCGAGCACGCGACGCTCTTCTTTGCCCGCACCTGCGTCCTGCACTTGTCCCTTCGAGTTCTCCTTGAGGCGCTGCACGCGTTCGATGAACGCGATCGCAGCGTTGCGCGCGAGCTCAGCCCCGCCCCCCGCGGCCTCGACCGCACCGCCCACCCCAGGCTCACACGCGACGAGGCCCGCCATGCTGCTCCAAAACTCGACAAACGCATCCTCGCCGCCCCTGTCCGTCTTGTTGTTCGTGCGCTCGCCGAGGCCGCTCGCCTCGACGTACCACACCCGCGCGTTGTCGTAGTCGCCCTCGACGCGGTGCAGGATCCCGTGCAGGTGCTGTCCTGCGCGCGCGTTCTGCATCTTCCGCACGAGGAAGTGCGCAGGGTAGAGCGCGTGGTTCAGCAGATGGAACGCCGCCTCGAGCGCGGGATGCAGCAGCAAGTCTGCGATTGCCGGCTGCAACGCCGGGTCGAGCCCGTCTTTGCATGCAGGCGAGGGCGCATGGAACAGCGGCGCTGGGAGTTCGCAAAGCTTGGCATAAATCGCTTTAGCTTTCTCAACAGAAGGGTCGGCGAGTCCAGGTTCTGATGCAAACACGCAGGGAGTAGATGTCATGATGCAGAGAGG